AGCGTGGAGATCGAAAGGCTTGTGGCTACATTCAGGATCCCAACAGCATGCTTCAGAATCTTTATCAGCCCTCACATTGGGTTGTGCGAAAGCTGGCTTAAATGGAGGGGCTGGGAAAACGACAAACCCCTGTAATTCGGAAACATAAGTAGGCTAGACAAGGCGGTTTACGCCCTGTTTGTTTTATATATTTTTTTTCTTTCGCTTTTGGGGGCCAAAACTCGGGACAAAGAAGGAGCCTAATGGCTTGAGGATTAACCTTGGGTAGTAAAAAAAAAAAGACTTGGAAAAGATATACAACTAAGTATACAACATATAAGCGTATATAGTTCTCCATCCACAAAGAATATCTGTTTTCCCCACGAAGAGAAGTGCCAAGCAAAATGATGTTATTTTCAAAATACTCCGTAATTTGAGTAATTTGATATATTGAAAGCACTACTATATACTATAAAACTATGCCCATATACCAGTTTCAGCCTCACAGTTTTTTTTTTATAAAAAAAATAATAAGGAAGAATACGGAGTAAAATTGTAATTACTTTTCTTTCATCTCTTTGATCTCCACAATTTACCGTAAACCTCAGCCTCACTTTCCCCCTCTTTCATCCTTTTTCCCCCCCCTTCCCGTTTTCTTACCATTTTCCCTCTTTTGTCGCCTCACATGGATCTCATGAGTTCCCGATTTAAGTCATTTGGCTTTAGGAACAAACATAAGACTCCTAATTCCAACCCTATTGCAACTCCTATCCCTAGTTCCCCACCTCCTTCCGGTCACAGTTCATCAACAACAAGTCTTCCAATGAATCAACAACAGTTAGGCCGACCGCCAAGTTACACAAACAACCGGCCAACCAGCCCAATAGCGCATGGGGGTCAACAACAACCTCCACCTATCGCCACAAACCTCCAATATCCTAATCCCATGAATGGCCCACCAGGCTATGGCATGCAACAGCAGATGGCTCCTAGTATTCCCGCCCCACTGTCGAACAATCAGTATCCAGGGCGCAACCCTGCCGTCGAGGTCGAAGGTGGGGATCGGAGCAAGGCCCAACTGATTGTCGGTATTGACTTCGGTACAACTTTCTCCGGTGTCGCATATGCATTTGCAACCAACAATCAGGCAAGCGAGGACATCATCACGCAATGGCCTGGGGCCGGAAACCACGCAAAACAAAAGGTGAGCGTGAACAAGTATAACTCCATATACGTTAGTCTGACAGACTTTCTGCTAGATCCCCACCGTCCTTTACTACGACCAATACCAAAAGGTGGTAGGATGGGGCCCCGATATCGCCGACGCTCTCGCCCCGACCGGATACCCCAAGCCCCAAGTGCAGAAGGTCGAGTGGTTCAAGCTCCAGTTGATGCTCTCTGGAAATACCTATATTGATCCCATCAACCTACCCCCCCTCCCTCCGGGAAAGTCCGAAATCGATGTCGCTGCCGATTACCTGTTCAAGCTACGACAAGCTATTCGCGCTCAGCTGCAAAAGGCCCTAGGAGAGGTGTTCACGCGAGAGGAACGCAATATCCGATACTACCTGACCGTCCCGGCTATTTGGAATGACGCCGGCAAGGCTGCGACGCGGACCGCTGCTATTCAAGCTGGCTTCTTGCGCGACGAGAACGATAACCGTCTCACACTAGTCTCAGAGCCCGAAGCAGCGGCCTTGTTCTGTGCCAAGAGTGGACTGCTCAACTTGAAGGTGGGCGACGCTATTTTGATTGTGGATTGCGGTGGTGGTACCGTGGATTTGATTGCATACGAGGTTGAGGAAGAGCAGCCTTTCAGTGTGATGGAATGTACTGCCGGGTCTGGTGACTCGTGTGGTTCAACAGCACTGAATCGGAATTTCAGTAACATCCTGCGCGCGAAGATCCGTAAGATGAAGCTGCCGGATGGCTCTCGGACTGCGGGCAAAGTCTACGCGAAGTGTATCATGGACTTTGAAAACCGTATCAAGGCCGACTTCCGCAACAACGGGCAAAAATGGGCAGTGGATGTGGGTATCGAGGCCGACTTCCCCGATGCCGGTATTGAAGAGGGCTACATGACCTTCACGAATGAGGAGATCCTCCAGTGCTTCGAGCCGGTCGTTAACCGTATCCTCGAGTTGGTTCGGAACCAGATTATCGCCATTCAAGCACAGAACCGCCTGATCCAGGTAAGAGCATCACGGCTTAGTTACCTAGTATTTAGTGCAGAGCTAACAAGTTTGTAGAACGTTCTAGTCGTCGGTGGTTTTGGTGCTTCAGAATACCTCTTCCAGCAGATCAAGCTCCACGTGCCGCCACAATATCAGACAAAGGTGGTCCGCCCAATGGACTCTGTAGCTGCGATCGTCAAAGGTGCAGTTACCGCAGGTATCACTGAGCGAGTCATCACCCACCGTGTAGCACGTCGACACTACCTTATGGCCACGCTTCAACCATTCAAAGAAGGATACCACCCAGAACAGTACCGTGTGCCCAGTTTGGATGGCCGCGATCGATGCAAGTATACCCGTCAGATTTTCGTTCAAAAGGGAGAGCGTGTCAGAATTGGCGAACCAGTCAAGGTCAGCTTCTTCCGTCAAGTTGCACCTGGTGCCACCCTCATGTACGAGGATGTGCTGTATGCCTGTGATGAGGACGTCTGCCCCGAGTACACCAAGGATCCACGTAAGTTGATCGATTTCATTTTGCTTATACAAATTGCTAATACTTTCTTTAGGCATCAAGGAAGTTGTCACGCTCACATCTGATTTATCACGCAAGAACCTCGAGACCGACTTCGAGCGCATGGACACACCACAAGGCATCTTCTACCGTGTCTACTTCGATATTTACCTTACGCTAGACGGCAGTGAATTCAGCGCCGAACTAGTCTGCCAGAACGAGATCATGGGCCGCTGCCGTGCCAAGTTCCGGTGATTTACAAATCTTTGCACATGGGAATTACACATAAAAGAACAAATCAGGCCCTCTATATACATCCCCTCTGGACGAGACCCACAACATCATTGGCGAACAGAAGTGTGGCCATCACTTACGTTTTGTCGATTTGAATTTCCCTCTCATTGGTCTTGGATCCGTGAACTGGTCAGATACTCCAGACATCACTACACAGGCGAACTGGCGTTATATGTGCTGATTCTCGCGGAACCTGTGTCGTTCCCAAATATATGCCACGGTTTTATGGAGCCATTTATTTTGCCCACTTCTTTTGTTGGCGGTTCCTGTTTGTGGTTTTTCCCCCCTCTTCTTCTTTTCTCTCCTTTTTCCTCTTTCGCCCTCCTAGATACCTCTTGACTATCGTGTTTTGTTTGAATGATATTGACGAGCTGTGGTCCTCATTTGATTTATAATATCCAGCTCTCCCTACATATTTATGCCTTCATGGACTCATGATAATGAGTATATGAAGCACGATGCGATGCCATCGAACCTATCATCAAGTTCATCCATTTCGCGTATTTAATCTAGACAATTGAAGATTGTCCAACCTTCCCATTTTTTAGATAGATAATAGAAAAGAATGAGAAACAAGTCCCAAGAGACAAAACTTAAGAGTGGTAATACATCCTCATTCCAATCAAGTCTCCAGGTTAATGCTCCGACCAAACCGCGCATACAGCGCAACCTTCAGCTGCTGCATTTCCTCACGCAGCTCACCAAGGGAGTCCTCCAGCTTGGAGACATCTGCGTCGATCTTCTCTGTTGATGTGGAGAGCATTGCCTGCGCATCTGGTAGCGGTAGTTGGAAGAATGAGTCGCCGATTTTGTAACTGTGTTCTTGTTAGCGACGGCCTCTTATATTTTTTGGTTTGGGGTTTCAATGTTTTCACAATACTCAAGACGAGCATTGTATAAAAGAACCAGAAGGGAGTTTTTAAGAAAAAATAGAAAATGGAGATGGGAAGAGGGTATTTCTTACGGCACAAGCTCATCTTCATCAGCAAGCTCCAGCTCCATCGAAACCTCTTCCAAATCCTCCTTATCCTTCTATAAACCAATTAGTACAAGATTCAATACATAACAGAAAATAAGATCCTCAAAAGAATGTTTCCATACCTGCTTCCCCTTCAACTGCTCCTCAAGCACAGTCTCGCGCTGATGCAATCGACTGAACCGGTTAATCTTCTCTTGATCCTCACGACGAACTTCATTCTCATCATTGGCTGATGTCTCGTCCGCTTTTGTGAGCTGTGTGTTGATTCGGTTAGCTTGAGAACTGGGCTTTGGTGGGGTGTTGTCGCGCTTGGGCTTGGTGGGGGGTTGGCTTACCATGCGCGGCTGCACCATTTTGGCTATCTGGTTGGAGGGATATTTGGTTTGATTTGAGTGTGGGATTTGTTTTGTATCTGATCTTTGCCCAGTCGTTGCGGGTTGGTTGGTTTGCGCTTTTGATATCGGGGTTTGAGTGGGTGGTCCGTGCGCTAATTGGATGAATGTGGTATTAAGGTAGAAATATAGGATCTATTACAGTATCTGGTTTATATATATATATATATCCTCCCTATAGAGAGTAATGTCCGACCTTCTGATTCTTTCTATATGCCAGTTCGTCTCTGATCCTATCTTTCCATACGCGTTGGGTAGGCCATTGGGTACTTGGGGTGACATCATAGCTATTATTTTCTCTAAAGAAATTAAAGAAAATAAGAGTAGAACAGAAATAGTTTCAAATACTTTTTCAACCTTGGAAGGCATCTTCATTTCGAGTTGAGTGTACGGAGTAGGCATCACCTGTTTAGTGCCAAAACACCGCCACCGGAGAAACGAAACACCTCCGCAACCCTGGAGGAACAAGGACCTCGTCATCGTCACTTTTAACTTCAAACTCCCCAAACAAGGAACAAAACCTCTCTTTTGATTTGACTTGGTCACACCTGTCCTGAGTACATCTGTCCTCGTGACCATCTGAGCTATAGAGCTCGCGAAAGCCTCATCCCAGCTTTCCTCAGTCCTTCCATCCTACCCTTCGCAACCCAGCCAGCGGCACATTCATCAGAATGCGAATACAACCAAGCGGAGTCTCACTCCTCCTCTCCACCCTCCTACCAAGCCTGACATCGGCATCAGCATCCGCGTCCGGCTTCGACTGCGCGGACCTGAAGATTGACAATTACAAATACGACCTTAGTCCCCTAAAAGGCGTCCACGAGTTGAATCATACAGTGACGACCGATGACTACGTGACGAATACAATATACCGATTGAATATCTGCAATATTCTCGAGGGCGCTGCCCGGAACGGTAGCGCGACATGCGGCACTGGCAAAAACGGTATGTTGCAACCCGACATGACGCGACCATGTTGAAGTTATTTCTCTTGGAGTGGTCACATTAATTGATGTATTATTTCTAGTTTGCGGATTCGTGCACCAAACACCGAAGGATGGAAATGGCGGCTCTACGTTCGGTTTCCCGATCGCCGGGCTTGACCCCGTTGACAAGGGCCCAAAGAACCCAGAATTGAAGCGATTGAAGGATATCGACCCGGAGACCGAAGGATTGCGCGTGAAGCTGGAAGGTGGCTTGTACAAGGGAGATCTCAATGACCAGAAGCCCAAGAAGGCAGCTACTGTCATTGATTTCCAGTGCGACCACGAGCGTTCTGGACTGGAGGGCCTGCGTACGATTCCAGACTCGGAGACGAAGGAGCGACGACGGAGAGCGGACGAAGGTGGTGCTGTGCCGTCAGGAAACAGCACGTCGGACAACAGCAGCAGCGCGACTCTGCAGTTCAAGAGTTTTGCTCCGTCTGATGATGATACCTACATCCTAAGACTGGATTGGCGCACAAAGTATGCCTGCGACGAGTTCGAGAAGGAGAAGGGCGATACTCCCGGCTCGAGAAGCTGGGGTTTCTTTACCTGGTTGATCATCATGTGAGTCTTGCTTGGTTCCTAAAGGATTAATTCCTTGTTCTTGCTTCAGTATTGGAATGTCTGCTAATCAATCTGTTCAGTGCCTTCCTCTGCATCGCTGCCTACCTCATCTTTGGTTCCTGGCTCAACTACAACCGTTACGGCGCCCGTGGCTGGGACCTTCTCCCTCACGGTGATACTATCCGCGATATCCCTTACCTCTTCCAGGACTGGCTCCGTCGTGTAGTCAATACCCTACAAGGATCGGGTTCGCGGGGTGGTTACAGTGCGGTATAAGTGGAGTTGGATACATTGGTCCCTATAGTCAGTTGTACTTTTGGATGAAGATACAATTTCTTCTTTTTAACTAAGGCTGAAAGTTTACTTTTACTTTAGATCATTATGAATACTAAACAAATAGTTTCATTGGGGTTCTGCCTATTGGTGAGGATTGCAGCATCTCAGGCGTTCCCAATATATTCCATCAACATCTCTGGGGTAATTGCACCGCTTAGAGCAAAAACTAGGCTTGGATTCCTCTTGTACCCCGAGCATCATATTAATACTATACTTTCCTATATTGATCTTAGAGCATAGCGTGTTCAGCACAATTTAAGACCGTGTGGACTTTGGAAATAGTATTGATTTGGTAACCCATAATGTATCTTTCTGCTTGGCTAAAGCTCCTTACATGGAATGTAGTACTTCTATTCTCTGCCGTAAGAATTGTGTACTCACATCTAATCCTGCTACGCGGTATATCCACGGTCACAATAACGGAAGTATTGGGGTGTGAATGCTCGTGAAATGAGATTCCTTCGATCGACACTTCACCTTCCTCAATCCGGTAATTCCGACCGAGCTTTGGACTCCGAGTATGTCCCACTGCAAAATTTATGCTAGTATCTAAGTAAAGATTGCTATATGCTAATATTTGCCAAGGGAATTCTATTGGCTGTTGACCTTCGAGACAGTTATGCATGAACTGCAGGGCTCGCTCTGTATACAGTATGTGATGTAAGTGTACGCGAGATAGACCCTTGTGAGGACAGGATATATCAAGACCCCAACCACGAATAATGCTACCGGTGACCAGCGGCAGAGGCTTTTTCCGTCCGTCTCAAGCCACGAAGATCACTGCCTTGTTTTGAGTCTCGCAACTCACAGCTTCATTTGATAAGACCAATCAGACGGAAGATAAATATTGCATTGGACTTCTCAGTGGTGGATAGTTGCTAGCGTTTAATCAGATAAGATGAAAGGTCCCACTAATAACGCGGGCCTCATTACGCAAAAGAGAAGGCCTCTCGGAGAAAGGAATAGCGCTACGACCCTGGAGGGAATGATTAGTTCTTCAGGCGCTTTTTCCCTCGTATATTTTCCATGTATAAGTATAGGAGTGCCGGAAAATAACCGGCTGAGGACATTGGACCGCTGTGCTGCACTCATTTCTGTTCACGATGCGTTTTCCTACTTCAGCTGCCCTCCTGGGCCTTGGTTTGCCATTAGCCTGCGCTCTTTGCCCACACGCAGAGCAAATGAACCTTGAAAAGAAGAGCACACCCCCGCCAGATACACACATTTATCCCAAGGCGTCGTACGACAAGAAAGGCATCTTTTATATGAACCGCATTGCTCCCGCGACATCAGAGCTGTATGTTGCCAATGCTGATGGTAGCGGTGAACGCCCTCTTCTCTCCAACCCCATCTACGAATACCATGCCACCTTTTCCCCCGATGGAGAATGGATCACTTTCACCGGAGAACGGAATGGTGATGGCAATTCGGATATCTACCGCGTCCGAACAGACGGGTCTGACCTTGAGGAGTTGGTAGCAACATCCTCCGTGGAAGATGGAGTCGTTATGTCTCCGAATGGAAAGAAAATCGCCTATGTGTCCACTGCTAATGGCTATAAGGCCAACATCTGGGTCATGGATCTGGAGAGTGGTGAGAAATGGAACCTCACAGATACCGCGTCGACCGCAGCCGATGATTCTCTTCCTAATGGCTACTTCCGCCCTTCGTGGTCTCCCGATGGCCAATGGATTGCTTTCTCGTCGGACCGGAACTCGGGCTGGTACGGACACGGAGACCCAATCTTCCAAGGTGTGACCGGCTGGGAACATACACAGGAGCTCTCTATCTATGCGATCCGCCCCGATGGTTCTGATTTCCGCCCCGTCGTGTCAAAGCCGGGTTATTGCCTCGGTTCGCCCAAGTGGTCACCTAACGGTGAGCGTATTCTCTTCTACGAGATCACACGCGAGCATACCTGGAGCGCTCACCGTCCTGAGTCAGTTAACTCAGTTAACTCTACCCTTGTCTCGGTGGAGTTTGCCACAGGCGCTGACCGCCGTGTGGAAGCCGAAGGAGCGGGCGTGAAGAGCTTCCCCCAATACATTTCTGACAACACCATCGCCTACTTCGCTAAGGGTTCCGGCACCGAAGGACTCCACACCACTGCCGGTGGATTTGTGAACACCTCTACCGAAATGATCCGCTCTCCCGCCTGGTCTACAGATGGCAAAAAGGTCGTATATGAGAAGACCGGCTGGACTGTCCGTCCTATGGACAAGAAGCTGTATAGCTGGGATTCCGAGTGGGAATACCGCTTTACGGACGTATTCCCACAGCTATCTAACACCAACAAGATCGCCCTGACTGAGAAACAGCTTGGGAACTCTTCCATTGTTTCCTTCAACGCTAACGGAACCAACGAACGCCTCATCTACAACGTCATGGAATCCAGCTTCATTGATGCAAAGTCAGTCGCTATGGGTACCGCAGGCGCCTTCAACCCGACCTGGTCACCGGATGGCAAATGGGTAACCTTCGGAGTAGGCTTCTGGTTCCAAGGCCGAGCAACTGGGGGCGGCTGGCTGGTACGATCTACTGCCAATGGCACGTACTCCGAAGTCCTGACCGAGAGCCAAGCAACTCTTGCTAGCAACAGCACCGCGATCAACTCCGGCTTTCCCAGCTTCTCGCATGACGGCAAGAAGATTGTCTTCCGTGTGTGGGGAACAAACTCGACTCTGGGTGATAGGTCCCAGCTTGGACTCCGTCTTCTGGATCTGGAAACTCGAAAGATCTCCGTCTTGAGTAACGAGTGGGATAACCTGCCTTCCTTCTCCCCAGACGGAAAGAGAATTGTCTTCACCCGCAAGACCAACGACTACAACTACGATATCTGCACTATGCGTGCTGACGGAACTGATGTGAAGGTTCTCACTAGTAGTGGGGCCAATGATGCCCATGCAGTCTGGACTTGGGATGGTCGCATTGCTTTCTCTTCTGGCATGTTTGGCTTCCAGTATGAGTGTGCTCTCTATGACCAGACTTTCCAGCCTTACGGTCAGATCGTTGTCATGGATGTCGATGGCTCGAACAAGCGTGTGATGACTGATTCTATCTGGGAGGATTCGATGCCTCTCTATGTGCCGAATAGTGCCCTCAAGGGTAACGACAAGGTTCACAAATAGGGCCTGTAGTAGTGCCTCATACGGCCATGCTGCAGAATTGACATTTTACCCACAAATTTGGCACTAGAGTGAAAATTATTATTATATCTGTACTTCAAGTGATACATTGAGAGGCCGAAAATTTTACGATTCTGGTAACGTGAGCATTGGACGCCTCGCCATTTCGAATAACAGTATGTAGTTTCCAAGGTTAGTACTCAGGCCATACTGTTTCAAATGGATGGGTTTAACCCTAATTAGTAACAACCACAGCTGCCACTAGAAATGCAGTGGGGTATGGCTGCTGAGAGCTGCTGCACCTCGTATCATTCGTCTTATGCTACGAGCAGAGGCATAGTGAACTTCGCTTTCATTTCCAGCTAGTAACAGCCTGGCACAGCTACCAAAATAGGTACCCGCGAGTAAGGAAAGGACGTACCTGGAGGGCCTTCCAAGCTTAACTTATAATCATTATCAAACACCCCGGTCTGTTAAAAGCCACTTGACATACTGTGTGCGAACTATGAGAGCCGTCCAGTGGTTTCTTCACCGCGACATGATCATATAACTCCTACTTCTGCGTCAGTCAAAACGCCCGAAATGGGCCATCGCTGCGTGTTGGTTATCTCTAGGTTCAAGCTCCAAGCGTTCTAGTTGATCAAACCTCTGTTAGCTTTCCCATAGTGTCCTTTGCCGCGTCTTCGGGGCTTGTGCGTCTGCGATGCTGTAAATTCTCGTTTTCTTGTCTCTATATGGTGCCAGTTTTGAACCGTGGGAAGAGGAAATGGAAATGGAGAAGAAAAGGAGGAGAGGTTGTGTGTGGTGGTTTTGTTTTTTTGGTTAGGATAGTTTTTGTTTGGGGGATAGTGGTAGGGGGTAGGGTGGGAAAATGGGAGAGGGAGGAATATAGGGTGTGGTAAGGGGGTTGTGGTGGGGGGGTGTGTTATACTCGCAAGTGAAAATGTGCTGTCCAATCCATGGTTTGAGTTAACTTTGTCAATAATCATGAACTTCCATACTACGATGTTGATGATCGAAAATACACTACTGCCCTTGATACTGCTTCCTGGTACCAACATGGGAAGGGTCTAGACATGGTGGGTCGGATATACCTCATGTGCACCTTCTGACGCGTATAGCACTTGATTTGGGGTACTTGTGATCTTCGGCTAAGACATCAGGACAGCTCTAGAGACAGCCATAACATAAATCAGTGCTTCTTGACATCCCATATGAGCTTTGGTATTGTTCACGAATACTTCCATATATGGTAGGTGGATATACTATTTAAGGAACTGCCCAGGTGTGAAAAAACATTGCTAGCACCCACATAAAATGACCAGTGCTTATTTCTTACATTACAGAGTACACTCTAGAAACTTGAAAGATAATAGCATTCAGGGAAGAGTAGTAAAAAAAACATGCAAGATCGTCGTAGTCATCAACCAATCCCCGTGGAGATGGCGCCATCCGGACTAAATCGTTCTCATATACTCCGTAGGTCTCGCAAAGGAGCGGTCAATAAGAAATTATATGCGGTAAGTGCCCCTTGAGCTTCCCATTCTCCCATTCTCCCATTCTGTTCCCGTCTCACTTCTTTCCTAACCCTTTGCGCTACAAATGACTCGTCAATCTTTCTTTCTAAACCTTCACTGCGAATGCCTTGAGGTATAGGTAATCGGCCATGTTGGCGTCGACTGTCCGACGGATAAGAGCAGCCTGCTTCTCACCATACTTCTTCTGCCATTCGGCGTCAAACTCCTCCTCGGTCTTGACAGCACGTTTCTATGAATAGCGTCAGCCGGAAGTCCCCAATATCTTCGCATCCACATTCCACCAGAATGAAGAATGGAAAACTTACATGAGCTCTCTGTACCAGAGCCTTCGACTCAATAGCATCATTATGGAACCCACGCCACTTCTCAAATGCATTCCGAGCAACAGCATGGTCCTTCTCCGTATCCCATGTCAGCATCTCCGGCCTATATGGCAGATCAACACTGTTACAGAACGCCTCAATAGTCTTCGCCGGCTCGTCAAGCATATCATCTGCATCGATGACACAGACCTCAACGCCAGTCGTCGCCTGGGGATCGGCCTGGGCGTTCAGATCAGCGCGCGTTGCAACTTGGGGCCCGATCAATCCGGTCTCGAGCAGATAATCGAAGTGACGGCGCAGCTCATCGTACCCGGCCTCCAGAGGGTCGTAGTTGTGGAACCCAGTCACCTCATCCAGAGGTGGGATCGTGCACCGCAGGTACGACGGCACGCTGTAGTGCGGGTCACGGATTAGGAACGCCCAGTGGAACTTTTCTTGCAGCTCGCGCGGCATCACCGTTGGGTTTCCCGGCTCTGCCGGTGTGCCGTATGGGTATGGTTCTTTGGAAGTTCCGTTGGTGTGACCGTTCGTCTCGTGATGACCGTTCACACCATTCAAGGCCCCGTTGACCCCGTTGGTGTGACCGTTTGGCAAGACGGAATGGCCGTTGGTGTGGACAGTGCTGTTGGCACCGTTCACACCATTGGCCTGGTGCGACTCGCCGTTGGTCCCGACTCCACGCTTAAGGCGCAGTAGAGACGGGGCGATACTGGCGGGCTGTCCATTGGGTGGAAGCAGGTAATGGTCGATATCTTTGATGAAAATTCTCTTTCCCTGTGACAAGGTAAGTATCCCCTCAAAAAGTGTAAATATTCCATTCCTCGCCGCGCATCTCATGGTCATCCAATATTTTTGGCGCCCGGTCTGTGATTTACAGTTTGTAGAGGTGGAGGGGGAGCAGATCGCCTCGGGCTACATCTGCGGTGCAAAGTAACAAAAATATAGACAGGTAGGGAATCTTCCCTCATGTTCAATCCACAGGGGAGAACATGAGGAGCATTACGAGGGGGGTGGGTAAGAACGCGAGAGATTCCAACGCAGAAAGAAGGGTCGGACCTGAGTAGTTTCTCGCTCGAGCCTATCCATCACGGTACTATATGTTGATTTGGCGAATCCACTATCCAGGCGTTCTTGGGCATGTTCATCGCCTGCGAACCGGCTGGAGAGGCGCTCCGGGCCGTAGTAGAATGCATCGCCAAATGGCTCATGGACACATTGAATAGTATCTCGCTGAGTCATGAAGACCTATACTCTGTTAGATGTGCTTGGAATAAAAGTAGTTATTAAAATATCTTGCAATATCTTAAAATATCTCAGGATCTCTTACTCGTTCAAAGGCTGTCGAGCATGCTCGAGGATGTGTAGCCACAAAGATCGGCTTGTTAGACATACTTTAAGTCCTGCAAGGATCTGTTTAATACCGGCTGATATAACTGCAATCTGCAGAATTTGTGTCAGGGAAATTGAAAAAAGGCAATCGAAATAGACTTGCAGTGGATCAGGCCTCTGATCAATCAACGCAAGGATAATTCAAATCTAGCCGTCGAAGCTGTAGCGCGACAGAAAATTTCTGGGTTGGATAGCGGAGATCTTCGCAAGGGTCCAGCGAATGTGAGAGGTTCTTAATGGTCTCAGCTGCAATCACTATGGCGTGAGAATAATGAAAAGAATGCAGAGGGGGGCTAAAAACTCTTTATATGGAATGACATATGCACCACGTTTAATAACAGGCTTTTATTTTTATTTTTATTTCTTTAGGGAGCCTCGGGAAGCGGAGAGCTACCAGAGTTGGGTTAACTGACCCATGGAAAAAAATATTCAAAAATAATTTATGGGTATCCTATATGGTAGACCAGAGGGGATTGGAGATCTACGAATTAAGTCTAAATGCAAGGTTACGCATAAGATATAGTATAGCACCTCTCCTCGTAGTACATAGTAGTATTGTTATGGTATAGAAGTGCATGTAGTGCTGCATACTATTGTTGTATAGAATCGAAAAAGCCCCCTAAGCCAGCATTAGCTTCAACATCACTTCCAAGGATCGAGGAAGCAAATCATCAACGCCACAAAGCCTCTTGCCCCTCTCTGCCCCGCAGGAACCTTCCCGCTTCTATTTTTTCTCTTCCCTCCAGTCTAGCAGACAAACAAATTAATAAATTGAAAAAAAAATCTACAGTCACCTCTCGTGATGAAGTAGCCAATGAGAAAATAACTTGTGGACAGTGCATGGATCGATCTTCGTTTCTGGATGCGCCGGCCTGGAACAAATGTCCACCATCCACGGTCCAAGTCATGTCTGAGCACCTCAGCTGAGACCGTACTCCTCTTCCATGCAGCCCGGTGAAAGTTGACTACCTAAATGGTGATGATTCCGATCCAAAGCACAGAGAAATTCCCTTTTGAAAAATCCCTCGGCCGAATTTGAGTAGATACTTGCAGGGGGTCTGATCCTGGACAAGGCTCGAGATCGATTTCTTCGAATTCTCATTGCTTAGGGTTTGTACCAGCTGACGTCATTGACTAACTGTGGGACATTTTCTGTCGGCTATCGTGGAACACGATATACAACGTAAGCGACGCATGGTAGAAGAAAATAAAGAACTTCTGGAATACCCACTATTATGTAAATGGTACCTGGGCAGGCGTTAAGTGGCACATCGTATGTTGTATGTTGTAGAATCCAGCATACCTACATGGATGTTTAACATCTTGATTTTTGTGGGTAAGAGGAGTTGGTGGGACTGGGTTGTTTCAATGCTCCACTGCAAGGCACGCAAGTTCAAAGTCGAAATCCGCCAATAATGGCGTCAACGCCGAATCATGTCTCCAACGTGGGGAGCTTGCACATCTCAGGGCTGTGGTTTGCTGGCTTGCGCGATTTAATCCGAGTTGCTGACCTCATCTCGGAGCATGTAGGAATTATGTCAGCGAAGCAATGGTCCAAAGGTCACGTGCATCTCGCGTGGACATCCCGTGACTTGGCTATGAGCTGTCACGTGTTTATCTATCACGTGCCAGTGCACAAATCTGGCCAGGTGCAATAAGGTGGTAATTGACTAACTATAGTAGGAGGGATAACCTGTTGCCTTATATAATAAGGTGGTAATTGACTGACTACGGTATATGTGTGTATAGTACAATGTAAGTGTCATTAAGTGTATCTTAACAGAGAGTGACATGCTACACTATGAATGTGGTCCGTGACTACCCCGGAATGAGGGTTTCTCCGGTGCCTAGGGGTGATCCTCGGCACTGTCAGGCAACGTCAGGCAACGTCAGGCAGCTTCTGGAAGGCGGTGGAACCTAGTAGTGACGCCATGGATTGAGTGGCAGCTTCGGGCATCCTACGCGCCAGGAGTATATGAACTTGCATCATCGTGTTTCTAGTTGCATATCTTGAAGTTTACCTGCCCAATTACTTTCTACTCTCACACTACTACTATCATCTTATCCCTCAGAACATCAGTATTTCCACACCTATTGACATTACCCCACATTTCCGTTCAAAATGAACGGTGTCGAGTTCACAGATCGAGCCAACAAGGCCTTGCTGGACTCCAGCAGCCTCTGCGAGCAATATGCACAATCTCAGATCCTGCCTCTTCACCTGGCAGTGGCGATGCTTAACCCCTCCCCAGATGAGTCTAAAGATCAACAGACTCCTTCTGGCGCACATTCCTCCCACGATGACTCAACCGCTCCTCTCTTCCGTCAGGTGGTCGAACGAGCTCACGGTGACGCTCAGCTCCTCGACCGTGCGTTGATGAAGCTACTGGTCCGCCTACCGAGTCAAGACCCTCCCCCAGAGAACCCTAGTGTTTCTCCCCAACTATCCAAAGTCATTCGATCAGCTACCGATTTGTCTAAGACCCAAAAGGACAGCTTCGTTGCCGTTGACCATCTCATTCAGTCTGTCTGCCAAGATTCACAGGTTCAGCGTGCTCTGGGCGATGCCAACATCCCCAACCTCAAGTTGATCGACAACGCTATCCAGCAAATTCGTGGTACAAAGCGAGTCGACTCGAAGACTGCCGACGCAGAAGGCGAAAATGAGAACCTGAAGAAGTTCACCATTGACATGACTTCCTTGGCTCGGGAGGGAAAGATCGATCCAGTTATTGGCCGAGAGGAGGAAATCCGTCGAGTCATTCGTATTCTCAGTCGACGCACGAAGAACAACCCTGTGCTTATCGGTGAGCCTGGTGTGGGTAAGACTACCATTGTCGAAGGTCTCGCTCGCCGCATTGTCAACGCCGATATTCCCGCCAACTTGGCTCAGTGCCGTCTTCTTTCTCTCGATGTTGGTTCTCTGGTTGCGGGCAGCAAATACCGCGGTGAATTTGAAGAACGTATGAAGGGTGTCCTCAAGGAAATAGAAGACTCTAAGGATACTATCGTTCTGTTCGTCGATGAGATTCACCTGCTTATGGGCGCTGGATCTAGCGGCGAAGGCGGTATGGACGCCGCCAACCTTCTTAAGCCCATGTTGGCTCGCGGCCAGTTGCATTGTATCGGTGCCACGACTCTCTCCGAATACCGAAAGTATATTGAGAAGGATCAGGCCTTCGAGCGACGATTCCAGCAAGTCCTTGTCAAGGAGCCTTCAGTCCCAGAGACCATCTCTATTCTTCGTGGTCTGAAAGAAAAATACGAGGCTCATCACGGTGTCAACATTCTCGATGGAGCTATCGTCACTGCCGCCACTCTCGCAGCTCGCTACTTGACAGCGCGTCGACTACCCGATTCTGCGGTCGATTTGATTGATGAGGCTGCAGCTGCAGTCCGAGTCACTCGCGAGTCCGAGCCAGAAGCTCTCGACACACTAGAAAGAAAGGCCCGCCAGCTTGAGATCGAAATTCATGCCCTTGGCCGTGAGCAGGATGATGCATCCAAGGCACGTCTTGAGGCTGCCAAACAGGAAGCCGCCAATGTTGCCGAGGAGCTCCGGCCCATGCGCGAGAAGTATGAAAGTGAAAAGCAACGCAGCCGCGAAGTCCAGGAGGCCAAGATCAAGCTTGACTCTCTCAAGGTCAAGCGCGACGAAGCTGAACGTATGGGCGACACCCAGACAGCTGCTGATCTAGAATACTATGCCATCCCAGAGACCAAAACCCTCATCGAGCGTCTCGAGTCTGATCGGGCCAGGGCCGATGCTGAACGTCGCGCTCAATCAGGCGATGCTGGTGAAGCACTCCTTGCCGATGCAGTTGGTCCTGATCAGATCAATGAAATCGTTGGCCGCTGGACCGGTATCCCTGTCACGAGACTCAAGACCACCGAAAAGGACAAGCTGCTCAACATGGAGAAATACCTTGGCAAGCTCGTTGTCGGCCAGAAGGAAGCCGTTGTCTCAGTCTCCAACGCCATTCGCTTGCAGCGCTCAGGTCTCAGCAACCCTAACGCGCCTCCCAGCTTCTTGTTCTGTGGTCCTTCCGGTACCGGTAAGACACTGCTCACTAAAGCGCTTGCCGAATTCCTCTTCGATGATCCAAAGGCAATGATTCGCTTCGACATGTCCGAGTATCAGGAGCGACATTCACTCAGCCGTATGATCGGTGCACCCCCCGGATATGTTGGACATGACGCCGGTGGCCAACTTACCGAAAACCTGCGCCGCCGCCCCTTCTCAATCTTGCTCTTCGACGAGGTTGAGAAGGCCGCAAAGGAAGTCCTTACTGTCCTCCTGCAACTTATGGATGATGGCCGTATTACCGACGGTCAGGGCCGCATCGTCGATGCAAAGAACTGCATCGTCGTGATGACCTCTAACCTGGGTGCCCAGTACCTCTCACGTCCCACTACCAAGGACGGAAAGATCGATCCCCAGACCCGCGAGTTGGTCATGAAAGCACTACAAGACTACTTCCTACCGGAATTCCTCAACCGTATCTCCAGCACCGTCATCTTTAACCGCCTTACCAGACGGGAGATCCGTAAGATCGTGGACCTCCGTCTCGCCGAGGTGCAGAAGCGGCTCGACCACAACGAGCGCAATGTCTTTATTCAATGTACAGACGAAGTCAAGGACTACCTCGGCGCAGCAGGATACTCCTCAGCCTACGGTGCCCGCCCACTCGGCCGACTCATCGAGCGCGAGGTCCTCAACCGTCTCGCTGTGCTCATTTTGCGCGGAAGCATCAAGGATGGCGAGGTTGCCCGTGTTGTCATGCAGGATGGTCGCATCGAAGTCCTGCCTAACCACGAGGTTGGTGAGAGCAGTGACGAGAGCGATGATGAGATGATGGACGAGGATGATCTCGACGCTGAAATGGATGATAATCCGGTGTCTCCTGATCTGTATGATGATTAAACAAAGGTGGTACAAGGTTCTGCCAAAGTGCAAAACACAACAGGATTTGAACATACCAGCGATGATAAGATGATACA